TATCCCGATGGCACAAGCACAACTGTAAAAACAGGACAGCAAGGTTTTTTTTAATTATTAAAACAGACAAATATTGTAGGACCAACGTACATAATTTAACCAAGGAATGGATGAAAATGGGTAATGAAAACAGCCAGAATCCTACTGGGGATTGATGTGTGAGTAAGTCAGATTGAATAACCTAGACAAGTGGCTCCTAACTAGTGAGGTCATGTTTACACTGAAACAGTATACAGTACTGTATACAGTATATACTGATATAAACTCCCAGAAGACTTCACCACCAGCTGCGCTGGCCAGGATTTCTGAGGGTGCCATTCCAAAAACATCTGGATTCCTCAAGGTTGGAAAGCATTGGACTACATCAACTCTGTTCTTTTGACTACCAGATTTATATCCGGTAACACTACTGAAGCTTGCTGGATAGCTCAGTAAATTGGAGTAGGGGTCAGGAGTTCAGTTCCCCACTGTGCCTCCTGGAGAAGAGCTAGCCTGTGTAGCTTTGGGCAAGCTGCATTCCTAGAGCACCCTACTGCTGAGGACTCCAAACATTAGCAAGGATAAGCTGGAATGAACTCGAAGGTGCAACAGCACATTATTATTAACACCACTGAAAACCCACCCTTCCCTTTCTTTGATGTTCTCCGTACCATTGGAAGCAACAAAATTGTCACTGACATTCAGCAAAGCCTCGACTGAAAATCCTGCCACCCCAAACTTATGGAAAGGAATATGATATACAGCTTGAGTTTCAGAATCCGATGCCTTTGCAACACTGAAGAAAGCTGTAAAAAAAAAAGAATCAGGAAACTCACGAAAGATCTGTTTCTCTAAGGATATCCTTCACACATCAAGACAGCAACTACCTTTGCAAAGGAAAATCTTCTCCATCAAGGTTACAATTAGAGAAAGCTGAAAAGGGTCACCATAACTCAGAAGTGACTCGAGGGCACACAATCATGATCCATTGTGGGCATCTTGCAAAAGCCGCCAGCATGCATCCTGTGATAGCATTCTACTGGCATCCCAAAATACAGAAATTACGTGTCAGAAATATTGTCAGACACCCGTCAGCCATCCTGGGTCATATCGTTGTGCTTCCAAGAGACCTGTTACATGCGTATTTCTCAGGACGACAGTCATCTTTAATTAAGAGCACCATGAACAGCAGGTATTCTTAATTAAACAGAACATTACCTGTAGGGCCTGCAATCTATATATCACTGTGTGCTCACTGCTGGGATGCCATCTGCAGTTTATGGACAAAACGACAACAATCACCCTACATACTGACTTCAGAAACCACAAATTCGCAATCTTGACCAAGAAATTGGAACAACCAATGGTTAAGGCCTTTAACACCAAACATAACAGCCTATATGGTTTGTTGATTATTGTGGGGAAAAAATACAATGATACCCCACATAGCGATGATAATCCATTCCGGATAAATCGTCGCTATCTAGAATCAGCACTATACGGGGCAAAA